GATTGATTCATCCATTTTCTGAGCACCTGAGTTTGCAGCATATGCCAGGCATTGCATCGCACCAGGTACTAAAGATGCAGATGGACCTGGCCTGTCGTCCAGATAAGCGCTTATGGGCCAAGGGCCTCTGAGACCAAGGCCAACCAGGGTGCAGTTCTAGCCCTGGTAGTTCGCTAGTGATTGAACTGGCTTGTCTGTTACCTCTCTGTGCCTGTTTCTGCATTTGTGAACTGGGGAAAGGGGTGCCTACTGCACAGCTTCTGAGAATTTAGTGGACAGTGCTCTGGAACGTTTGCTCAGTGTCTGACACAGACGTGCTCAGCAAGTTAGTCACCCTTAGTATCTGAAAATGCTTTCGAGGACCATCATGCCCACCAGTACCAAAATCTGCAGCTGCTCAGGCCTCTGGTATAAAGGGACCTGTCGTGTGTGTGACCTCCTCTCCCATGCGTCAGGTCTGCCCTGCACTGCTTCCCGACAGTGCACCTGCTGTGGAAGAAGTTGTCCCACTGCATTACTGAGCAAAAGAGAGCGACAGCAGTAAGGAGGTCATTGTTTTTTTCTGAGTAGTTTTGGCCAGGTTAGTTGAATCCATGGGGGTAAAACCGACAGAATTTGGAGGGCAGTGTGTATTAGTATTGTTAAGGGGACCCAAACCAGCCAGGCATGGTGACGTACACCTATGACCCCAGCACACAGGAGGCTGAGCCAGGAGAGTCACCCAGAGTTTAAGGCCCACCTGGGTCATGTAGTGAGTTCAAGGCCAGCCCGGACTGCACAGCAGGACCCTGTCTTAAAAAAAAAAAAAAAGAGGGCCGCCTAAGCCAATGGAAAAGCAGTGAGGAGGGATCTACCTACTTTCCAGTCTGTCCATGGCCCACTAACTATTTTAATTAAGTTCATTGGTAAATTTTAGGGACCACAATGCTCACATTCATTGTAGGGAATATGTACCTGTACATGACACAACTTGAGTCTTTTTCCGCCATTCTCCTACCCTCCCTTCAAGCCCTTTCTCCTTCCTTATTCTCTTTTTCTTTGTCATTTTTTTGTTTGTTTATTTGAAGCAGGGTCTCACTATGTAGTAGCCTCAAACTCACTGTGATCCTCCTGCCTCAGCCTGCCGAGCGCTGGGGTATAAGCTTTGGCCACCATACACCGGCCTTCCCTCCTTATTTACAGAAACTTTGTTTCTGTTTTCTTCCTTTCTCATTTTTTTTCTTACCCCTTCATTCCTACCCCCCTGCCGGGCCCTGGGGCCTCTTCCCACTTGAACATTTCTTTCTGTTTCACAGTATCTGTTATACATCTTAGTCCTCATTTAAACTTTCGGTTTCTCACACCAGGAGCACAGAGCAATGTTTACACATGTGTCCCGTTTATTTCACTTAGGAGTGTGATTTCCAGGTGCACCCATGTAGCTAGAAATGTCTCAAGCATGCCCCACTAATTTTAACTTTCCTTTTTTTTTTTTTAAATTTTATTTTGAAAGTAGTAAAAATGCAACAACACAAGACAGAACAAAGCCAATCAAGACAATGCAGTGAAACTGGTACAGGATTTCACAGTAGGATACTGGGATAGTTGTAATAGGTTCTATGGTATATCTCTTTAACTTCACAATAGTTGTCCAGTCAATTAGGTATAGCAAAATCAAACCAAAAGTAGAACATTATAAAACCAATTGAGAATACGAATAGAGCAAAGGAAACATAACAAAACAGTGAAAACACCTATGACTTCAAACAGAAAATAGAAGGAAATCCCCCATATTTGCTATACTGCATATGGTCATACTCCCAAGAGATGCTGAGACATCTATCCCTAGTAGCTATGTGGGGAGGGGGTGGACGGGGGAAGGGTGCTTGATTTTCAGCCCGAATGGCAGTAGGCTCCCAGGTAATGGTTCTCCTCCAGGCCCACGCTGCAGACACTTACCAAAAGGGCGGGTGAATAAGCTGCCTGAGTCCCATCATGGCTGGCTCTCCAGAGTTCTCTTAACTTTCCTTCTTATGTCCCTCTCTTGTTGTCTGTGTCTTGCTACCTTCTACTGCTCAATTGTGTACAGAATCTCTAGTGTTTGGGGTATCTTCTCTGTGTGAAGGCTTCTGTGTCTGCTTCTCAGGTCTCATGATGGTCTCTGTGATGCCAGACTTGCCTGGGTGAAGCCCAGGGGAAAAGTCAGGTAGCTTGGTTTTGGCAGGATTTCGGACAGAGTGGGAGAAATTGTAACATGTCTTGTAAGGGTTTTCTGATCCGGAAAGAGTAAGATTTTTAGGTCAGAATAACTTTGCACCCCTCTAGTTGAGGAGAAGGTGCCATGTTTGTAGACGTGTGCATGTGTTAACATTGCTTTTTATCTACTGTTGGAAGTTTCTGTTGTGCATATAGAGGATTTCTCACTTCTCCAACAGTGTGACTGTCTTCAGGGTCATTCCTTCCTGAAGCCAAGGGACAACGTATCCAGCCATGGAAGGCCCTTTATGTGCAGCTTCCCAGATCTGAATTGGGGCCACCTGGGGCCAGCAGTGTGCTGGACACTAGAGCACCATCAGACCTCAGATGGGTCATGAGAAGAACACGTGTGTTTCCATTTTGTTGCTCTGTCGGTATTTCCTGAGCACCTCCATGTTCGCATGGGATGCAGCCGGTTGAAGGAGGTAGAAGGAACCTACTGGCATCAAGGGGGCAGGAGAGCAGGCCATGGTATTCCATGGGGGCATGAGGACAATGAGCTTGGGGAGCTTAGGACCCTTCCCCATGCACTTCGTGTGCAGTGTTGGGGAGGGGACGGTGTAGGGCCCATGGTTCTGCATGCAGCAGCAGCATCCTGTAGGGTCACTGAGGCGAGACCATTGCCTTAGTCCCCTTGTGTACCATGGAATGGTATGGGTAGTGTCCTTTGGGTCCCCCTTCCTCTGCCCTGAGTGTTAATAGTAGACTCTGGAAGACTGCGCTTGCCTGGGTGGTCCTGCCACCTGGTCAGTGGCTTTTGCTGCATTCTTCCTAACAGCCATGGTGACTGGGGAGTGGGGTGGAGCTGCACGTGGCCCCTAGCAGTTGGGAGTGGTTGGAGGTGTGCAGGACTGTGCCCAGCCAGCTGATCCCTGCACCCTGAGCAGTCTTCGTGGCTTGGGGCTGAGTCCCAGTGTGTACCCCCAGCAGGGCTTGACTCAAAGTCTGCTTGGCAGTTACTGTAACTTTCCTGAAACTCTTGGTCCTCAATAAGTGCCAGGAAGACACTGCAGCTTCTCCTCCTCTGCCTCCCTGCTTCACCGTGGCCAAGCAAGGGATAGGGCCGCTTTTGGAGAGGAGCATTTAGGGGTCTCATGTCCAGGTCATTAAGAAAGTTGTTTATAGGTTGTAAAAGTGAAAGCCTCCTCGGGGTGGTTGGGTGAACCAGGCAGGGGACAGGCATCCCTGGGAAGGCTGTATGTGTCCTACACCCCTGGGACTCTGCCTGCTCGGAGGTCAGAGCTGTGGGAATGGCAGGGATTAAAGTTCCAGGTTCCTCTTCCATCATCTGGTGGTTTCCCCTGGGCCATGGGCAGTCGGAGGCCTATGTGTCTGTGGGTGCCCTTCACCTGGGCCCCACTCCTCAAAAACCTGGAGAACTCGGTCATTATGCTGCAACCTAAGGTAATAGGCTTTCACCATTATTAATGTTGACCCTAGAGAGAAAAATATGGGAAGGGGAGACATGGGTAATACCTGCTGGCTTTGTCCTGGTCTTCAGTGTCCAGGCTGGGAGTTATTTGGGGCATGGCAGGAGCAGCAGCTCAGCAGACCTGTGGGTCAGGAGACAGCCAGATGATGGGCTGAGGTGCAAGAGCCCCAGGGGAACCATGGCTTTCCAGCGTGAGGCTGACGAGTGGATGTTGCCCCTGTAGTCTCCCCTGCAGTCCGACGCTGAGCCAGCAGTCTGGCTGCTGACTGTCCTTAGCGTCTCCCTTGGCAGCACTGGCAGCGGCGTCCCACCCCAGCCCAGGATGCTGGCTTCTTCAGCACCCTCCCTGCGGACGACTGTCTCTACCCCATGCTCGGGGAGAGGGCCAGGAGAGCTGGGAGCACTGCTGGGTCACTCTGCTACTGCGTCATTAGTGTGCCCAGGCCCTGCCTCCGACCCAGGCATGCAGGGGCAGGACCATCCTGGCCTTGCTTCGGGGTGACCAACTTTCAGCTTCCCAGGCCTGGGTTTCCTTCCGGAAGGCACCCACCCCACCACTGCGCAGCCTTCCATCACAGGAGTGGCCAGGCACAGACTTGCGCATTCCGGTCTTGGCGCTGCAGCCAGCCCGGTGCCTCCCCTTAAATGAAGCTTTGCATGCTGTGTTGGGGTCTTGGGAATTTCAGACCCGCTATAGAAAAATGGTGGTGTGTCCCTCCCAGCTCCTCTTGGCAGTGTTTGGCAGTGTCCTAGAGAAATCTCCTTGACCCTGCCCCAGGTCCTTGGGTCCCCACCCCATGTACGGTAGTATTTACTTTCCCCTCAGCTTGACCCCCTTCCTGTTGCTCTTGTTCTCTGAGCAGTGTGTTCACACCTGCCCTGTGTGTCTACCACATTGCCAGATTCACCCAGGCCAGCCCACCTCTGACTGGGAGTCACCCCAGCCCCGCAGCAGGCTCAGGAGTGGCCCTTGCTGGGCAGCAGGCCTGCGTCCTCAGGTTCGTACTGCCGCAGTCCCACAGGTTTGCTCCGTGGGCTCAGCTCTGCCCACCTGCAGGTCTGTTTTCATGTTGGGCAGGGAAGACACAGCCTGGCCTGAGCAGCAGAGGCAGCTGTTTCTGACCCTGTTTCTGTTGTCCCGGTAGCCCCAAGAGGCAGCAGCCTACACACACCCGGGTTGTTTTCCCTCAACTGCTCTGGTCATTCTCTCCACTGCTTCTCTCCTCCTGGCTTTGCCCCTCCGCCCCAGGAATGAGCACAGTTTCCAATTGTGTAGCCATTTCCGCCACAAGTTCTGACAAACTGTCTAACTCTGTTTTCCTTTGTTTGGCAGCTCTTTTGTGACAGGAACAGCTTGTTGTGGCCACTTCTCACCCCTGAGAATCTGGGACCTCAACAGGTAAGAGATTCCTGAGGCCACCAGGGTCTAGGGTATATGACGCAGGGCAGCCTGGGAAGGGAGCTGGCCAGGTGGTCCAGGGGGCTGCTGCTCAGGACCCCACTGACCGTCTCCATTGTGGCGCCTTCTCATACAGAGCCCCAGGAGCTAGCTTGGGGAGTCTGTTGAAGTTAGGCAAATAACAGGTAAATAGTTTCATGCAGAATTTAGGATAACAGTTTGGATTTATGATACCCTTTCTCTAAAGGAGTGCAGGGCTATGTGACATAAAAATCTCGTCTATCCTTGGAGATTGTTTTTACAAAATAAAGAAATTTTGGAAGTGGTCTATAGAACCTATAAAAATAATTAAGAGTTAACACATTCAGGTTTATTCATAGTTCTCTACTTTGGCAGGCTTGGCAAACTCCTATCTGATTGATGATCTCCCCTTCTGCTGTGAAAAGAAATTATTTTGAAGTAACTGTAGATTTATAGGAATTTATAAAAGTAGGATAGAGAGATACTGCTGTAGTATCTTACATAATATAGTAAATGTCAAAGCCAGGAATTGATGTTGATGCGGTCCACAGACCTGTATTCAGATTGCATTTACTGCGAATGTGTTTGGAATTCTGTGTGATCTTAGCCCACGTGCCTATGCACACTCCTGTAGTCAGAACGTGGAAGGGTTTGTTGTATTAGCGCAGAGGTCTGTCCTACCCCTCCACGGTCACACCCACCTTTCTCCTCTTCCATTCCTCCTTGCCTCTGACGTCTGGCAACCACATATGTTTTCTCTCACTCTATAATTTTGTCACTTAGAAGACAAAATGGGATCATATAGTACCAGCCTTTGGAGACTGACTTTTTTTTGAAAAGTCAGCATAAGGCCTTTGAGCCCCACAGAAGTGGCAAATCATCAGTGGCTTGTTCCTTTGGTGGCTGGGGAATGTTCTGTGGTATTAGTGCACCAGTGTTTCTGTCCCCATTGAGGAAGATTCACGCTGAAGGAGTTTGGTTTGTCTCTGTTTGGGATTAGGGATTGAAACCAAGGCCTTAATGCACGCTAAGCAGGGCTCTACCCCTGGACTGCGTCCCCTGTCCCTTTTATCTATTTTATTTAATTTAGTGTAGTTTACGGCACTGCAGGTTAAACCCAGGAGCACTCTACAGCTCAGCTACACCACCAGCCCCTTTTATTTTTTAAAGACAAGGTCTTACTAAATTGCCCAAGTAGGACTTGAACTTATGATCTTCCTGCTTTGGGCTCCAAAGTGCTGGGATTATAGGTGTGTGCCACTGTGCATGGATTAGTTGTTTTGTTCTGAGATAGGGTCTCACTGAGTTGCCCTGGCTGGCCTTGATCTTACCCTGTACCTCAGTCTTGCAGGTTGCTGGGATTACAGGTGTGTGTTAGCATATCCAGCTTCGATTTCTGATTATTGCAAGTAAAGTTTTTATGAATATTTGTATATAGGGTTTTTTTTTTTTTTGTCTTTTTCGTTTTTATCGGTACCAGGGATCAAACTCACAACTGCCTGCTTGCAAGGCAGGTGCTTATGCCGCTGAGCTAAATCCCCAGCCCCTGTATATAGGTTTTTATAAGGGCATAAGTTTCAGTGTTTCTGGGATGAATACTAAGGAGCCCAGTTAATTATTTGATAAATACATGTTGGTGTTTTACTTGCCAAACTATTTTTCAGAGTATCTTTTATGAATTTTAAATTTTGAAACAGTCCAAATTATCAACGTTTCTCTTAGCATTTATGCTTTTGGCATCAAGTCTAAGAACTCTTCAGCTAGTCTCAGTTGTAAATACAACAGTTTAGTAGAGGCTAAAGTTTCTTTCTTTTCTTTTTTTCTCTCTTTTCTTTTTGAAGCAGAGTATTGCTTTGTAGTTCAGGCTGGCTTTGAATTCACCATATAGTCCTGCCTGGCCTTGAACTCCTATTGATTCTCCTGTCTCAACCTCCCGAGTGCTGGAATTGTAGGTGTACACCACCATACCTGGCTAAATTGCGTTCCTTGCCTGCCTCCTCCCTCAGTTGCTCTGTGTCTTCCCCTGTCTTCTCCATCTCTCTTGGAAAGTGTTTGCCATGCCTTCGTCCTGAAAAGTCCATTCTGTACAGTTGGTCTTTCCACAGCCTTGGTGCAGAGGTGTTTGCATTACACATGCTCTCTCTACTGTGGCCTCTGCTGGTGTCATCTAAGTGGAGGGCTGGGAAACTCAGGACTTCAGCCAACAGCACATGGCCTCTCAGGCAGCTCTCAGGGCTCTACTGCCCCCCCTGTGCCCAGGTCATGTTTCCTGAGCAAGAAGCAGGTATACCTCTGCCCTGCACAGCCCCACTCCATGTTGGGACACTTCCATCCTCCTCTTCCAGGTCATTCGCTCGCTCCAGGCCCAGTTCTAGGTTCTTGAGTTGTTTCCCCTAAGCCTTGGAGATCCACAGCGTTTTATCTGTGGCTGCTTCTTAAGTCATGAAGGCTTAAACGGTAACGAACGCACGATCTCAGATGACATGGAGCCCAGAAGGTGAGCGCCGGTGACTCCAGGGTTGACGGCTCCCTGCTCAGGATCCTGAGGGCCACACTCTCTGTGCTTCTGCCCTTGCCAGCCATGCTGTGGCTATATTCATGCCTCTTTCGAGGCTCCTGTGGAGTAGCTCCACTAACTGGAATCCCCAGCCCTTCCACTAACTCGGAAGGTGACTGCCGCATTAGTAAGAACCTAGCGTTAGTCAGGGACAGAGGGAGCTGCGGCCTTGCTGGCGACTGGCTCTTAGGGTGAAAAAGCCTTTGCTAGGCACCCCTAAAATGACTTCTCCTCGCAGTTAATACCCAAAATTATGTTCCGGTTCACTCTAAAGCAAGCATTGGCACCAGAACAGAACCAGTCCAACATTCCCGCCCTGGCCCGATGAGGAGTCCTGCTCGCCTTGTGTGCTGGCTGTGGCACAGAAGAGGGCGGCAGTGGTGCAGAATCAAGGCTTGGTCAGCATGAAGGAACTCATGCTGAGGAGATGCTGGGCGGGTCCTGCAGTATGGGTCCTACTGACTTTAAGGCTTCACTCCTGTGTCTGCTTTATCTGTCTGCGTATGAACAAACTAGGTGTGGTCTGCGGAAGAGCAGATGCGATCCCATCTTATCTTAGATCTACTTCTGTTCTGTGTTGTGTGTGCGTCTGGGTACTTGCTGGGCAAGTGCTATTCCATGGAACTATACCCCAGGCCAGAGAAGTATGTTCCCTTTTTTGTTTTGTTGTTTTTATTTTTGTTTTGAGACAAGGTCCTCCTGCCTCAGCCTCCTGAGTGCTAGGATTGCAGGCATGTGCCACCATCCCCAGCCCAGCCCAGAGATCTACTTTTGTTAGTGCAGCAGCTGGTCACATCATAGTTACCAGCCTAGATGCAACATGTAGGGCTCCACTGGTCTCAAGCCCCTGGGATGCTGGCATCCTGTGGGCCAGGAACCTTGTTGCTATCAGTTTGCCCTGATCACCTCCTGCCATGAGCCTTTCCTCCTCTTGAGCAGGGCTGAGGCAGAGGAGCCATCCTTGGAGGGAAGAAGCTTGGGAGGTGGTGTACTGGGCAGCTGTGAGGGACTCCAGGGGTGCTGCTGTGTGGCAGACTGCTCTGGCTTCTATAGCTGCTCTGCCATTTATCAGCCCTATGATTTGGGACCTTCTGGGCTTCAGTTTCCATAGTGGGAACTGAAAAATGAGAGTTAATTATCTCTCCCTAACAAAATTGTGGACCAAATAACTGGAGGAAGTGCCCCACACACTGCTTGACAGCTTGGGCACCAATCTAGCCAAGCAGCTGCTCCCCACCCCTCCAGTTTTCACATCAGTACCGGAGGGTTTGTTAGCCCTCAGAATACCACAGGTAAGAGAGGAGTCCGCTGGCTCATGGCACAAACAAGGCTCTGGCTAGTGAGGCCACGCATCATAGGTGGGTATTGCTGCTAAGAGCCAGTTTCATCTCATCAGCTGGTACCATCACCTGCCTGGACCCAGGATAGCGCACTGCTGTGACCCAGGCCATCCTGAGGGCTGGAGGAGCTCTGAGCTGTCTGCAGCAGCCTCGGTGGGAATTTAAGGTCAGGATGGAGTGCTGAGGCACAGACCCTTGGACAGTGGTTCTCCTTTGAAACCCCTAGTCCTCTCCAGCTACAGCCCTGGGTCTGTGCTGAACCTAGAATGAAACCAGATGAGAAAGGGCATAAGACAGTGTGGTCTCGGTTCTTTGGGAGACAAGGCCACGGCATGTTCTGGCCAGCCTGTAGGCTCTTCAGGTGGCAGGATCAGCTAGGGCATCAGCTGGTATTGCCTGTTCTCCAGCCCTGGGCCCGCGCCCACCCCTGGAAAGGGAAGATCCTGGTGTTAACATCTGTCCTGGGCCCTGGGGGCCTGGTAGGCCCTGCAGGCCAGGCAGTGAGGGGAGATGCCCCCGTGGAGGCCTCTGCTCTTGGTGGGAGGAAATGGATGGACAGGATGGCTCTCTGGAGCTGTCTTTCCCAGAGAAGCCCAAGCAGATAATAAAGCCATGTAGAAAATAGGATTAAGGTAATGAGCAGGCAGGGCCAAGTTTGATCTTTCAATAATGCCAAAGCCTGACTGACAGGCGGCCTGCAAGGAGGAGTGCCCAGCCGGCAGGGCTCGCCTGGCTACGTGTGCAGGGCTGGCGGGATTCCTGCTTTTCACCTGTCACTCCTGAACCCTGGGCAGTGCCTGGCTTTCTCTTTATGTGTATTCTGTGATTTCAGTGGAAGGGCACCGAAGGGGCAGTTGTGCCCTGAGCACCTGGGTCATGCTGGGATGGCGGGTGGGGGCACCCTCAGAGATCAGGATAGGTACCCCGCTGGGTACCTGCACTCTCCTGAACTGTCACCCGTGTCTGTGGCTCACAGGTGCCACTCCACAGGTAGCCTGTACTACTTAGGATGCCCGGAGAGCCCTTTCAGGGTGCCAGCTCCTCAGCACCTCATCCACCAATACCTCTGGGGACTGTTCTTC